AGTGCATGCAAAGGGCTTTTCTGCAAATGACCCAGTGCCTTGATCAACTCTGCCCTCAGGCAGTTCCCTCAGACCCCCAGCAGGAGATCCCTGGACAGGACAAATCTGCCATCTGCACACCCGGGGTCTTTGCTCCATCCCTGACCTCCCCTGGTCCGTTTGGGACTGAACCACCCCTGGTTTAGGTCAATGGGGCGCAATGTCCAAGGCAGCTGGGGAGGTGTGGGCTGTGGATGCCAGGCTGGAGTGCCCCTGCCCCTCATCCATGTTCCCCGTGCCAGGTGCCAGCCTGCGCCTGTCGGGCGGCAGGAACGGCTGCGAGGGCCGCGTGGAGCTGTACGACGGCAGCACGTGGGGCACGGTGTGTGATGACCAGTGGGACCTGCGGGATGCCCAGGTGGTGTGTCGGCAGCTGGGCTGTGGGGAGGCCCTGGGGGCCCCACACGCTGCCCACTTTGGCCTGGGCTCGGGGCGCATCTTCCTGGACGACGTGCAGTGCCGTGGGGACGAGCCCTCCCTGCAGATGTGCAGGCACAACGGCTGGGGAGTGCACAACTGTGGGCACGTGGAGGATGCCGGTGTCGTCTGTGCAGGTGGGTGGGTGGCAGAGACCATGGGATTTTCTGCACATCATTCTGAGTGAGTTCTGAATCTGTCCTTTAGGATCAGCCCTGCTGAGCTCCCTTTGGAGAGCCAGGGCAGAGAGGCGAGGTTGGGGTCTTCTGCTGCCTGGGGCTGGTAGCCCATGTCATGCAAAAGCCCTGTTGTTTCCCACAGAGGGCACAGCAGACTCTGCACATCTCCTGGTGTAGGTGCTCAGTGTGGGGGCAAGGAGCAGGATGGTGGGATTGTTTTTTGGAGGACAGGGCAGGATTGGAGACATGTCAGGCTGGTGTATGGGTGGGGGAAAGACAGGATCCACTCCCCATTTCCCCTTTAGTTCTCCAGCCTGCCTTTTTATGTCCATGTCCATGGCTATGTGTATATTCCTGTGAATCCATTCCCACAATCTCCCTGCCTGTTCATTCACTGCCTCTTCTTTTTTGCAGCCTCCCATCCAACCCCTCCTGCACAATGGCCATTCACAACAGGTAATTCCTGCTCACCCAGCTAAGGTTCAGCTTTGTAGTGGGCCCCAGTCTGGCATAACAGGAGGTTAGGGGCTTCCTCCTTGGCTGATCCTGCTCAGTGCATGACTGCTGGTCCTTTCTGCCCTTCACATCTACAGGAGGCATGAGTTTTCCCCCTCAGGGGATGGGTCAATCTCAAGGGTTTCATAGGGCTTTTCTGCAAATGACCCAGTGCCTTGATCAACTCTGCCCTCAGGCAGTTCCCTCAGACCCCCAGCAGGAGATCCCTGGACAGGACAAATCTGCCATCTGCACACCCGGGGTCTTTGCTCCATCCCTGACCTCCCCTGGTCCGTTTGGGACTGAACCACCTCAGGTTTAGGTCACTGGGGCGCAATGTCCAAGGCAGCTGGAGAGGTGTGGGCTGTGGATGCCGGGCTGGAGTGCCCCTGCCCCTCATCCATGTTCCCCGTGCCAGGTGCCAGCCTGCGCCTGTCGGGCGGCAGGAACGGCTGTGAGGGCCGCGTGGAGCTGTACGACGGCAGCACGTGGGGCACGGTGTGTGATGACCAGTGGGACCTGCAGGATGCCCAGGTGGTGTGTCGGCAGCTGGGCTGTGGGGAGGCCCTTGGAGCCCCACAAACTGCCCACTTTGGCCTGGGCTCGGGGCGCATCTTCCTGGACGACGTGCAGTGCCGTGGGGAC